CAAACACTTCTCCAATATAGTTTTAGTACTTATATTACATATTATTATATACAGGTTCCTGTACCTATGATTTTATTTATACGCGTGAGACGGGTTTTCGTGAATTATTGCCGCAAACATCACGCGTGCCTATATTTGTAATATGTAATATATTTTATAGACATATAATAATAATATGCTCGTCAGAAGMAACGTATCTCTATATAGCTATAACATACGTACTCGTATTAAAACGATATAATAATATACTAAACAACAATGGATATAATGACGGTGATGATGACCGCGATTATGACGATGATAATAATAATAATAAAAATTATTGGGTACTTTGTAGTGGAAACTCATACGCCCGACTTGATGCAAACGACGACGGACGACAAGCGGACTAAGGGCCGCAGGATTCCTCAACACGTTTCAAAGTTATATCTGTCCCTATACAACCACCCACCRAACCACCCGCTAGTGGTSGAGGAGAAAAATAAAGTAGATCGTTCTCGACGGATACACTAYCAATCAGTATATATCATCACAGTTCGGTTACGTGGCGTGTGCTGCACAGAGCAATTGAAATGTCAAATTAATATTATATGCAGAGTTTATCATGTCTATTATATGACCCGGCCTGAGATAAGTCTACCACTCCGCGTATATATGGGTCTTATATATATATTGTGTGTTGGTATATAGGTACGCGCATATATGATAATATTATACTATATTATAATAATATGTCCGGGAGGCCACACCAGTGATTTATACCGCGCCGGAGCCTTTAGCGCGCGTATACAATGGACCGCCGGACAATTAGCATAAATAATTATAGTGTGTGTGTGTGCGTTTAATATAGACTCGCGGCCGCGGCGGCTACTTTTTATCCGGTTTTATTATTCCCCCCCCCCAACCCCAAACACTCCCTCCCAAACGGCAGCCTCCCCTATTCACCGGTCAGTCGTAATATTCGTTTACAGCTCGCGCGCCTCCGAGCACGGGACCATATATTTTATGTTATGATTATTAAGATTACCGTCGTCGTGACTATTCTCCAGATCGAAACATATTCGCTTAGGTTGATCGCAACATCCAGATATTATTTTTAGACGCCTTCCTTCCCATTTACGGATGCATATTACGTAATATAATGCTAGCAACTGTATATATTTATACAAGCCCGACTTGGACCGTGAAAAAATTAATAAACATAATATCATGCGTATATTGTATAGGTATACTATGTAGGTGTGAATTGCAGTTCACGGGCAAATCGGCGTCAGTGTATTTTCGCTTTGTGAACCAATTCGACCGAGAAGGCCGAGAAGTGCAATCTATCTGTGGTGGATTGGATATGGTGCTTTGTATGTTTTCAAAYGTGGAACATACTATGCTCCCTAGACTTCYCCGATATCTAAGAATTCTGTTTTATCTAACCTTATAATATACAATATAAACAAAAAATGATTARATTTTCATGTGTTAGCCACCCTATAGTAACAATGCAACATATTATATAAAGGTTGAAATACAAAGCTGTATAAACACTCTCCGAGTCCAAAGCWGTATGTCTGCAAAATTTAATGACAATCTGTTCTGTAGTCTGCACTTACARTAAGTATTGGTAAGACTTATAATAATATTATRAAATATGGGCGAAATTCCTGKGCCMAGGTTCGAATTCACTAAGACCCGACATTTTAGGGAGAGGTATCGTTTGCGGTATTCAGGTCTGTAGACTGTGACGTATTATTTCTCTGGAAAACACGGCAGTTTCTTGTGTCGTTTTTAAGCTACATACTTCGAATTTTCCGATTTCTTCCCTGCCATTAATCTTCTTGATCGGTGTATCGTTTGTACAAACTAAAAGTTATATATTTTTTTGTATAAACATTATTTTACCGTTTCAGAAAATTATCAAYGATCGACGCATGCAATTGATAATTATCATTGCATTATTGTGTTTTGTTTTTCAACAAAACTGGAAACTCATAGGGTGCCATGAGCGTGCTGCAATAAAATGCGTTCATCGATCGCCTCACCAAGTGCAATAAATATAATAATAACACATTTTTCTCGGTATAATGTATTTTATAAACAGTTTTATAAGAAATATTTTTTCAACCGTAATTTTATTTGCCAATTAAATGTTTTGTAAATTATATTTATACACCAAAACGAGTTTTCTCCACACGAGACGGCTTTGTATAATTTTATTTTATGCGTATACGCAGTAAAATCTTTATTTATGAACACGCTCTTATAATGGACAGTTTTTAACTCTATTCCTTAAATAGTTATAGGTAGTGATATTTTTTATTATTATAATAAACTTATCGACACCATAARTACAGTGTTTACTAGGTAGGTGAATATCGCAGTAAATCATGAAATTAAATAACGTGTGGCATTAAATTGCGTACCTATCGTGTCTAATCTAATTGTAATATTATTTTGGGAATATTTAGTACGTCGTAACGAAGTACCTACCTAACGATTATGGGTTCGAAATATTATTATCGAATGCTGCATGATTTTTTTTTTTATATATAGACATGATAAGAAATGAAAAAAAATACATTTTTCATATTTTTTTTTTCCTTCAAAAACATCAATATTACATATTTTATGTTATGCGTAGGATATATTCATAGAGCCTCGTCGCAAATAATATAAAGCATAGCTAAATAATAAAATACTTCACCATGTATACATGGAAGCTTTTATGAAAAAGAAAAAAAAATTCCATAAAAAAATTCTGTATTCTATAATATTATGCGTGACTGCATAGATATAATATATATCAATATACGAACTGCCGGTCATAGATATCCTTTGAATACTCTAATTTAACATCGAAACTAAATGCAGGCGTATGCRCGTGTATTTGTATGTATAATATTCAATAAATATTACTGCGTCATATCCCTCGAGCAAATATTAATAATATATAGGTAATATCAAAACGTAAAATCAAATATCGACGGGCAACGGATCCCGCAAAATTGTATGCCGTAGGGCGCGTGTATACATAGCGCGTATTATTCGTGGGGTTAATATTCGAGACATGAGTGAGGAGAAGGAGAAGGAGGACGACGACGACGGCTTTGATTATTATAATCATAATACTGTGACTATGATTATGATGATGATAATAATGTCTTCGGATATAATCGGAATAGCCGATACGGTGTCGCTAACTCGGCTACGATATTACGACTTGGGTACTTGCTATTACCTACATTATAATAATATAATCCTAATCCCTAAATAAACGTTTTGTAATTTTTTTATTCCTAAATATCATACCTGCCACGATATTATCCACATTTCACGTCTCGCCTCATAAACGAAATGATTGCCCATTCGCCCTGGTGAACCATGATTACATAGAGAAAGACTCGACTTGATTATTCGTTCATAATTTCTCCCGCTCGCTTTAAAACTTCATAATTATACTTATATTATATCGTCTATATTATCAAAATACATGATGCTATATAGATGTCGACGGACTGCAGTTTGTAGTTTGTACCACTTGGAACAATATTTGAGTTTCAAATGTTAGATACCTACATATAAACTAAAATATTTAGCGATATATGGCTCTGCATATATATATAGAAGCACATGCTAAACAGTTTGGGTTAAAAGCTCATCGTGACTCGCACAGGGTAATTTKTGTATGTTAAAATATGTTTTTCCCTGCATACAGCCATACAGGTACCTAATCAAATATTCCTATATGAAAGTACTAAATGTTTACAAATATAGGATATCTGTATCGTTTCATCTGATAATAGAGACATCAGATGATTGATCAAATTATCATTATATTTAAACGCGGACTATAAACTCGGAGTATTCGTAAAATACTCTGTAAGAAAATCTATRCTTGACTATTATATGAGGTCGATTTTTAAAAGAAAATATTTTCTAACAATAAGTTCTTACTTATACTAGACATGTGAGACAATTGACTTTCCTTGTGTAGCATTTTGTGATTTCATGTCATACACATAATCATAAAAAATATCATTTAATACCACGAAATTAATTTTAAATGTTAGTAACAAGATATTATGTACTAMTATACAAGTATAAAAGTGGAAAWTTCGAGTGCCTTTGTTAGTATTTTAAAATACCAAAGCAATAAAGAAATATATTGCCTAATATTAATGCAAATTACCTACACAAGAGCACATTACTTGGATTCCTGGGTGGCTTTATCACAATAGGTAGTACAATTTATCATTAGGTCATAATCGTATCCCATAGAATCAAAACATTTATGGGCATTTATCGTAGTTTACCTGGATGTTATGTACCTACGGTGATAAACATGAACGAGGGTCTTTCTGAAGATAAGTTTTCCTAATTGTTTAATCRGTGATTATTTAAAGATCAATAAAATAAATTATTATGCTTAGCTGTTCTCTGCAGTTCTCAACATACACTGTATACCATACACATAACTGTAATATTATAATAAATTTAAAAAAAAAAAATACTATAATATATTTTTTATTCGTTTTTTGGGAATTGGATTTGACCTTACTCAATAAGTAATAACCATCTAACCTGCAACATGCATTACGATGATAATATCATTATTATTCAGTATAATAATTTAAAACACAATCGTTCTATGTTTCACAAACATACGGGTGTATACAGGCGTAGAAAAATAAATCGTGGATYATAACTTGTCCATGACTGCATGAGGTACGAAAAATGTTTGTCTAGAATTCTAGATGCTATGAAAAATTGATTACCTAGCAGTCGTTCTTGCGTTTCGTTGTAGAAATATAATATATTGTCATATTATATTTTAATCAAACACCATTTCAGTTTTTAAACTTGGCAAACGCCGCGACACGACATGACGTTCAAAACCACCAAAACTATAAACAAAATAAAAACATATATATTTGATTAAGATCCTCCCAACGTTGTTCAGATATTTGTTACCGTATACTAATATTTGAAATTATCTGATYGTTTTTCAGACAAGTGTGCCGGAACTGCAACTGCCCGCGGGACGATCACAGCAGCGGCGGCAGCATCAGTGGCAGCCACATCAACGACCACCACCGACCGCCGACGATCGCCGAAACGGCCTCGTGCGGAGGAAGCGGTGCCGCGGCGATAATGTCGTCGTCGGCGGCGATGACCGGCGTCAAGCGGGATACGCCCCCACCACCGTTGCCACCGTTGCCCACGGGACCGCCGGGTTATGACCAAGCGATCGGCGGTTACGAGAAGCTGCTGGCCGCCACAGTGGCCGTAGGCGCGACGGCTACGTCCACGGCGTCCGTGGCCACGGCTGCCGGCCGCAAGGACCCGTCGGCGGTCGCTGCGCTCCATCACAACCACCACCACCTCCACCATCCGCACCACCATCACGCTGTGGCTACGGCCACGGTGGGCGGAGGTGACCCGCAACAGCGACACTCGCACTCGGACGACGATTCTGGGTGCGCGCTGGAGGAGTACACGTGGGTGCCCGCCGGACTTAGACCAGATCAGGTCAGTGCCCATATTTATTTAATTCAATATAATACGTATATAGTAAATAAGTAATTATTATTAATAATATCAAAATAAAAAATCGAATTCGGCTCTCTTTTATATACGCGTCGAGATTCCTACAATATATAATGCTATAATATATTACACTATATTATAGAGTTATTAAACACGAATTCTTTAGGACTTGACGCGCGCAAAACCTGTTTTTTCGTTTTTGATCTCTTTCGTTTAAGTCGGCCTTAATTCATATTACGGGTAGATTCTTGATATGACGTTCGAATTCGACGCACGAACGGTACATGCAACCAAATCGAGTAAGATATTATACGTAATACCATTGACTATAAATACAAGTATTTATAAGTATTTGGTAATACGTTTACCCAATTCTGATYGACCAWAATAATTTTTTGTTGTCGCATCACCCGGTGCATCGTCTTYTTTATTACATGTAAATTTAGTTTGGTGCCAAAAGTCCGACGCGAAATAATTTTTGGTGATTTAACAAACAAAAAATAAATTATTATTTATCCAAGCGTTTGTATACTACGTCAAAAGCGACCGCGTCTTGGTTACGATATCGTTGACGGCGGCGGCGGCAGCTCAAACGTTTCAATGTTATGTTTTAATCGTTTTTCCGACGTAAACATACTCGTACACTGTTATTATATAACTACAGTGGTGGCTAAACCGCGACTCGCGTCTTAACATTTTTACTATACCTAACATAATAATATACTGCAGGTATTATTTCTTTTCCCGTTTTTCAAATTACAGTGAAACCTCCCTTAACAGACACCTATATAAATAGTATAAATAGCGGATACCTTCAAAGCGGACATTTTGTCGGGAACGGGGACATTTTCCCTATTATTATACAGGAAAACCCCTAAATACCGGACACTTTTATGATAATTTCATTTTGATTTTGACAATTCTAAAATATAGAATAATCGTGGAATGCCTTTATAAATATCAATCTATCTATCATAGTTTTAAGTTAATCTTATCTGTCCATTATCGCGTCGATTAAAACATTTTTCTAGTTTATGTTCTGTGAAGTATTCTACATTACTATTTCCTACTCGTATTTRGTTGTGTTTGTGATTCCATTAGATACGAACGTATTCATAAGCGTATTGTCTCCAATGCAGTTGAATTAGAAAATGCCTTGATACACGAAATTACTATGCATCAAGGTCTAAACAAATTAAAGTGACTACATTCTTTCATATAATTTTAAATAATAATATGTACAATTAATATTTGCATTAAAATAATAGACATATAGAAATATCATTAATTATAAATATTATATAAATAAATACAATATGTTGTAAATATGTAATTATTAATTTCTCCAAGTTATTTTCGAGCATTAACCCCCACCCTCTGAATAGCGGACACCTCTAAATAGTCTAAATAATAGATAAAATTACGGCAACTGAGAGTGTCCGGTATTTAGAGGTTTCACTATGTATAAATAATTTTTCATTTATCATGCGGCTCGCGGCTGCTACCTTATTGCCGACCACCCTTGTCAAATAATATTAATAAAATTGTGAAGATCATACCGCGAAGTCGTTTTGCCCATTGTTGGAGATCCAAACGATAAGTTAAATAAGATATAAAGGGGAAAAAATGATTATGATAATAACACGACCGACGTGATTTCACCGCGGTCGAATCCRCGGCTTATTAAACGACAAAACTCTACGTCCGTTGCGATATTAGAAATTCGTGATGACGAACTACCGCGGAGACTATACCTACGCAAACGACATGAAAATATTATAATATCATATTRCGCTAGTATATATTTCAACATAATATTGTGATGTTATGTTCAATGGCATCGCCGTTTAACAATACTTCAAACAAATTTCGCCGCTGCGACTGTCAACTGCACAATATTTCCATCAGATGATTCCATAATTATACAATCCTACTCACGACGCGTGCGAGAGTGTTTATAATATATATATTATTCTATGGTCGTTATGTAATGTGTGTGGGATTGTGCACAGTCCTTTGATCTGTACCGTYGGCGTCGGCCGAAACGCGTTTTCTAGTCTGTTTGCCAAAATAACCGTGCAAAATGTTTTGTTTCGTCGTTCTGGTATATATTATAATTGTACGAGAGTATTATACGCGGTTAATTATATTGTGTATGCACGCAAACGCATCCGAACATAAACGTTGACAAAACTGATTTCGTGGCGGCGGCGAGACGGCTTGTACAGGGTGGCGATTCGCCAAACACGATGCTCATTTCTTGGCTTTATTTTAATATACAACATGCGCATTCGTTCAAAATCTGATCTTTTGAATTTTTAAATAAATACTAACCGAGTTTTAAAATTCTTGAAAATTATTTATAGYACCTATAAATATATAGGTGCCCTATAGGCTATATTGGAGATATATGGAGACATATAATCCCCTATATACCTACACCATTATGGAGGAACAAACTACTATTTTGTCCCCCTATTTACTACTGTAAACAGTTTATTGTTAAAAATGATGACGTATCAAAATTGAAATTCAAACGATGACTATAGTTTTTAGCTTTATGTACAAAGGATAATGGTTAAACGTAATAATGGACTTGGAAGATATTATGGCTTTGGTAATTTAAGTAATTATTAATCTTAATCTTTCGACAATAATAATTCGTAAAAATAATCTAATTATAATAAATACTAGATCATTACATAATATATTTTATATTCTTTTAAAACAATTGTGAAGAACCACAACTATTCATATTCTAAACAATTTAATGAATGACTACTCGAATTTAAATTCAGTTGGTACACCGACGTTTTCATAAATTATAAATTAATATTTAATAAACTATTTACAGTAAAATTAGGATTCTCATTTAAAAAATAGAAGTTATTTTKTCATACACATACTTGCCGCTTTAGTTGCACGGTATTTAGATTTTAAGTATAATTAAGAATCTCAAAAATAAGGATTTGAATAAATTCATTATTTAATAAAAAAAAATGGAGTGATCATGCTTAGTGTGAATCACCCTGTATATGTATATTATGTAGGTATATACATAAATAGGTATATCCGGTTAAATAAATATGTCGTCTGTATAATGTTTTCGGCGCATTAAACTTTAAAAACAAAAACTTATAAGAACAATAATTACGCACATAAACGTGTTTCAAACAGAATAATTGAAACTTAATGTTTTGATGACTTGATAAACAATAACTGTTGTCTGTTTTAATTTAATTAATAAACATCTCTTGCTGTTGCTATATGCTCTCCTCATACCTTGCAGGAATGTTATTTTACATGTTTCATGTTAATCATATTACTAGATAAATACTACAGAGTAATATCGTTAGTATCAGTTAGTGTCCAATTCAAGTTTTAACTTCCAAAGAGACTGAGCTAAATAAAACAATATAATTCAATAATAAAATATCAAATATATCATATATTATGTTATAATAATTTGGTCACTTTAGTAAGTAATACAACTTTTATCTATATCAATGAAATTKAATTGTAATTACGATATAATAATAAATAAACAATATCATTTTTCATAACATTATTTCGATTTTTTTAAATTATTATACCTGATTTGTAACTTTTAAATATATAAATATATAAATATATATATATATATATATATATATATATAATATTCCTGCTTTATAAACAATTAAGAATGTTTAATTTAAGGATATTGTACGATAAAAATTCGTTAAAACTATTTATGATATTGATGACACATAAGCATTAATTAAAGTAATGGCTTTTATTAAAATATTTCAAACCACGAAGGTATAGTCCTCGTGTTATTTAGTAGTTTTAATTGTTTTATAATCTGCAAGCGACCGCGTAGTTTCAGTATAATCGGTACCTATGCACTTTATTTGTTAGGTGATTATTAAATCACAGATCTCGCAACATCTTACAATAAATACAAGGAAATTAAAATTTGTTTTTTTTTCTCTCTGTAATATTTGACCAAATTAAAAATCATAGAAAACTATAAAATAGTGAATGTTTAAAAAATTAATTACAATTAATAGGAAAATACCTAAAATATATTATATACCTATATATTTCCTATACCTACCCCAAACATATTGCATCAAAAAAGAATCACTCTGCAGGGTGTATTATAATTTATAATATACATATAATATATTCATATTAGGTAARGTTAAAATTCTTCATCGAAGTCGTGTAATACTTGGTCGAGTGCACACGGATGGGGACGTTTTCCATTTCTACAGTACAGTCGACCGGCCAACAATATAATATATTATCGTGGTAGTTAATAAATTGTCTTTAGAATCGGTTTCCGCGATCAACCACCCCGCTGCGGCCGTGGTATCTTAATAAAATCWCGAGCTCTCATCCAGGGACGGGGGCAGGAAAGACCGACAGCGATGGTTTGCTCTGCTCTCAAAAGAATTATATAGAATACAAGACCGATTTACTGTCGCGGACGACGGTATCTTCACGGGGCGTTTCGTCCGACAACGCTGGCGGCGGGGGAAGTATCCGCGTTACGTGATACGTCATTAGGCACGACAAATAACCGTCGTCGAGGTTTGTTGTGTTTCCTCTGACTATACACAAGCATACACACCCACACACCACAATCGCTTTATTATACACCCCGCAGCCACGGTGGGTCTATAGATCTTCTAGCATTTCCGCGTTTTCCGCGAGCCCGAGTCGGCAGAGGAAAGAAAAAACATATTATGTACAATCCACCTCGTCCCGAGGACTTCTCCGTCTCTCTATCTCTTTTCCTTTTTATTTCGGTCCGTTTGTCGCTAGACGCGGTCGGCTCTCTAGAGATATCACTCCGCTTCCTCGTAGTCTAACGGGCCAAGAGGTGTTGTCCCTAGTTCGTTTGCAGCACGAAGAGTGAAAAAACCATATTATATAAACCTACCAGAAAATTTCGCTTTTCGCTCGCGTGTAGTGATGTGCAAAACCGTCCTTTG